AGAGAAAGAGAGAGAAAGAGAGAGAGAGAGAGGCGATTGGCCAGCGGAAACTGCGAAACTCGCCGCGTAGATCTTTCCCTTCGATTCTCGTCTCGAAATTCCTACGTAAGGGATCGATCCTCGGACCCGTGGCCGCTTCCTCCACCTCCTCCTCCTCCTCCTCCTCCCCTCCTGCTCCTCGTTCCGCGATGAAAGCGACGCCAGCAGCGCGCAAAGGATATTTCTGTGCTGGCAAGACGCGGCCAGTTAAATCAGAATTCAATTTGAACGACGTTCGAGCTGGGAGATCCCCATAGAAGATACGAAATATTCATGGCGAGAATACTTTATCCGTTGTTATTCTTAGGCCACGGCCATACGGCCTTCCATAAATACATTGCGCCCCGCGACGATCATTCAGCAGCTTTCCCTGCTGATCTTATATTACCATACTTCTCGAAAGAAATTTAGAATACACGTGTTATTTACAAAGAATCTTGTAATCTTCGGATTGTAAAATCTGTACGTGAAACACTGTGCATAATTATCCGTGCCCACTGTAGTAATTAATTTTTCTAATCGTTATTTATATCAAGAAACTTTCAATTCTTCGATCAGCTGATTTCAAGTAGTTGTATTTATACGTTTTTTAATTTCTTTTTTCTAAAGAGATTTTTTCTTTTCGATACGCAAAAATGATAAAGATCTCGTTGAAGATGTTGAAATTTCTTCTTACTTGCGTCTTCCATCTCGAATAAAAAAATATATCAAATCTTTCCATTCCAGGATAAATTCTTTTCAACAAATGATCGATCGTCCTCGAAAAATCGTCCTCCTCACACGAATCGACTGCAAAAGTCGATTTTCCAAAAGTCGATCGAAAAGTGTGGATTCCCCCGTGACACGGCGCGAACAGGCCTGATCGATTTAACGCCAAATGTCGCCGTGTTTTACACGCGGCAATAATGGTCGAAATCTATGTAGCCAATATTTCACGAGCCACCCTTTCTCTTCCCTCGCGCCACCGTATATGAAACGTCCGCGTACGCGTAACCGTTGGTTATTGGCTCGCATATGGCCGCTGCTCGATATTTCAAACTGCACGATAAAAAAAATACGAGACACGAAACGTTTTTTCGTCCTCGCCTGAAAAATAGTCAAAGAAACAATTTCTTCAACTCGATCGAAATGTAATTCGATACCGTGTCAAATTATTATCCTCAATTAAATATCTCGATTCGAATAAACAATGATACGTGATAATTTTACTACGAATCTTATATTTTCTTACAGTGAACAATAATTCTCAAGTAATTCTTTTTCTACTCGATTAACGCAATATAAAATATATATATATATATATCATATTCTATTTAAAAATTGATGTTAATTAATTAAGAACAGAGAAGAATATGTGTTTTCTATCCAACTTTTAGCGTGGAATAAAAGAGGGGGAGGGATTGGCACGCGAGATAATTTGGCCAAGGTTGGCCGAATAAACGGAATTTAAATACCTACGGAAGGAAGAGGGCGATCCGAGGGGGAAGAGTGATAGTCCCTGGGGAGAGATACATCGGAGAACGGCAAGAAAGGATCCTTCCGTAACCGGACAGCGTAATTTACACGCTACGAGACTACGTTACACAGTTCACCGACTTCAAAGATTACTTTTTAAAAGGCGCTTGTTCGCAATTCCTCTTCTCGCTCCATCTTCCTCTCTCTCTAAAATACGATCGATTAATCTTACATCTCTCGCACGACAATTCATACATATATATATATAATTTTTACAAGTTGGTCGTAGCTCGTAGGAATATCATTTTTATAATAAAGTAGGGGTAAATGTCGCGCGACCCCTCTTCCCTTCTAATTATTCCCGTGATTTATAGCTTTCCTCGTAGCATCAGTTTTTTGGGGGTTGGTACAGGTCCGAGAGGCCTGAAAGGATCATCGTTTCGACACATGTCCACGGTGGGTTGATACACACAACGTTTTAGGGTTGCGGGTCCCTCATTCTTCAAAAACCGGCCGGTGCATATGTCGGCGCAAGAAACATAATGTTATCAAGCTGTCCGGCAGAGAGGCGAGCAGCGAAAGAGAGGAGGGAAACCCTTGGGGAACCTCGTCCTCCACTTCTCGTCCTTATTGATATACCGAATAAACACACTTGGCAGCTAGGATAGCGTTGCGAGGCAAATAGACTCGGAAGGACCTCGCCTCTTTGCCCTGTATCCTCCCCCTTAAAGCGGAGGCTACGATCGAAATGTCGTTCCTAGTCTTTCCTCTCTCTCTATCTCTCTCTCTCTCTCTCTCTCCCCTAAATGTTATTAGATAAAAATAATATGTCGAGAAATCCACGAAAGTCGAGGATTCAATCTGAGAATTCTGGATTCAAAAGTTTTGCTAATTATTAATCAAGCGTCTATAATAATAATTCGTAGAAGCGTAGCTCCCCTGATTTGATTTCTGAACATATCGAAATTAATTCAGCCTTAAACAAACACGTTTAAAATTACCTAATACCTTAATTTAAAAAAGAAAATCCTATCGATTCGTATCTTAATTTTATACGAAACGCATGAAATTCAAAGAGTCCAATGAGCATGATTTCTAAACTAAAATAATGAAAATAACTATTGCTAAGTTGTCAAAATCGAATTCAGAGATAATACAATTTAATTTCATACGAGAAATACGAGATTTTATCGTCCACCCTTGGATCCCTAAACGCTTTCACTTAAATTAATAAAGATTAAGATAATAATCGACGAAATACAAACTTGAAGAATTATTTTTTAGAAAGGAATATCAAAGCTCGTACATTCCGCTCTATAACAAACTCTAATAAACTCTAAACTAATCGAATTTAATTCTAAAAATTATCACCTACATTCGTTCGTTCCTTTCGAAAGAAGAAAAATAAAGAGAGAGAGAGAGAGAAAGAAGTGGGAAAGAACGCATTATTACCCGTCTCATGGACAGAGGCACGAAACATCATCCACGATACAAATCACCCACTCCCCCCGTTACCAATCAAACGTTACGTCGTTTACAACCGCGCTTCTTTCAACCCTTATCGATCGCCGCCCTTATCGAGTCCCGGCGCATCTTGTCCAGCGGCGGCTCGACGGTAAATAAAGATGGCCGGTTTTTCCCATCGGCTCGCACACACGCACCCCCACCGGCTCCATCGTCCGTGTGCTCGCCGGCCAGACGGTTTTAAATTCCGCGAGTCAAAGCGATGTTTGACATGGAAATGTTGAACGATGCATTAAACATGCCGCTTCCTCTCTTTTCCACGGGAAAAGGAAGAGGGAATCGGCCCTCCTCGCCCTCCTCGCGACTACTATCGCTACCAGGAGAAAGAGGGCCCCTCCCTCCTCCTCCTCCTCCTCCTCGATTCTATTGTTCGAGCAATGTTTATTTAAGCAAAACGAAAGGAGCCACCGTTCCAACGTGGTGGGTGAATCCGACTTCCTCGAGCGAGCCGGTGGACCGGCTTCCGGTTCGGATCGATAGCGGCGCTACGCGATGCCGCACTTTCAGCGCAACGCCTCCAGCCATTCCACCGATTATTCCATATCCCCCCTTGCTACCTCCTCCCACCGTGCTTTTTAATCACGCGTCCGTTTAGAATCGGTCGTGTGGAAATCGATCACATCTTCGCCTTCTTTCCAATGTAACCAAAGATATTCGGATACATGAATCGTTTGACTTAAAATCTTCTATATCTTCTATATCTTCTATATCTTCGAGGCAAATGTTACATTGTCAAGAATAGCTAGATGTTCAGGTGTGTTGTTTTTCTTAGCACAATTATTATACGATGAAATCTTAGAAATTTATTCTTCCTTCGGTCCACACGTTTAAATGATTACCATTAATTATTACGATTCTTGGGATTAAATTAACTTTCGAATGTAAAGATATTCGGACATATGATTCGTAACAATCGTTTGACTTAAAATCTTCTATATCGAGGCAAATGTTACACTGTCAAGAGTAGTTAGGTGTTCACGTGTGTTGTTTTTCTTGGCACACGCGCAATTATTATATGAAATCTTAGAAATTTATTCTTCCTTCGCTCCACACGTTTAAATGATTACCACAATTATTACGATTCTTGGGATTAAATCGAAATTGAGACACGGCGACATCGGATCTCGCTATAAATTAATATCAACGAGGACGAGATAAAGTTTGATTTGATTTAATGAATTCAGTGACGCAAAGATTGTTAAACTGTTATCGTTGGCAATTATTGAATTGGCGCGATTGAATACGGGGGACGCGAGGATCGCGAATCGAGGAATCGGGCGAGGCTGTCGAGGGTCGGAAGCGAAAGCACCTGCGAGGAGCAATTTCGATGGGCCTTCTTCCCCTAAAAGGAACTTCCCTCCGCCCATTGTCCGGCAAATGACATCAAGCTTATTGCATTATTTAAAGAGCACCCGCTTTAAGGCAGCTTTAAGCCGCTGACCCTCCCGCTTTTTCGGAGTGCCACCACCGCCACCGAGCTCTCCTTTCTCTTGGATCGCGACCCAACCCGATCTTATCGCGTATTTGCAAGCATAAGTTATTCGGATTTGCCCCCGTCGTTTTATCCATCCGCGCCGCCCACTTAACGTATCCGTAATGAAATTTTTGTATAATTTTTACGGATGATTATTCACAGTTATGGTATTCGACAAAAGAATCCGTCCCTGGATATTTCTTTCTTTCTCACATTTATCATACCATCTACATTCCCACATACATTCGCGACATATGTATAATTCAACGGATTAAATGGAAGCGACGTTACTTCACCAAAAGATTCGATCCAAGAAGAAGCGGATAGTTATAAGTACAAAATAATCGATAATTCGTGACAAAAATCGGTGACGAATTAACGACGAATTTCTTGAATATAATTAAAATAACGAATCCAGATACTTTTTTCTTTTTTTTTTTTTTTTTTTTCATTACCAATCGTAAGAATATACGTAAGAATTTTGAGTAAAAATTAAGTTACTACTCACCAGGAGAAATTCCAAGCTTCACGTGGAGGCTGCTAGGGCTTCTGTGATCGGGAGTGGTCACGGGAGCGGCAATGGGTGGTGACAGGTGGGGGTGTGCCAGTGCTCCACCACCTGTCGTTGTCGTGGTAGTCGTGGTGGTGCAGGGGTTTAGGGGTGAGGTCCTCTTGAAAGACTGTTCGGTCCGCCACGCAACCTCGTTATCGCCTATCCAAAGTTTGCCTGGAAAAAAATTACACAGAAATGATCAACGAACGAATATCTATTCTCTCAAATCAATCGATCGTAACAATTTTTATTTTCGCACGTTTGTCGATTCGAAGGTGCATTCGCTTTAGAAATATTATTCCTATATATATATATAGGTAAGAGTTATCGAGCATCAGAATCAAATTGCGAGAGAAGTCGGCGAAACAAATTTCCCCCTCCCTCTCCCCTTGTATTAATATAACGCTACGACCCTTGTGTCTGCGCAGAAAATGGCTTCTCTCCCCTCACGAGTCTCGCGTAATTAGCAACCCTCCGGATCCCCTATCCCTATGCCACTTTTCCCGACTTTTCCCTCGTTTCCCTTAATTTCTGGGAACAATACCGGCCTCTGGATGTTGATCCAGCGTTCGCAGTGTCTAATTACACCCCTCCCCTCCCCCCATCGTAATACCGCGAGACGTATCGAATTTTTCTTTCATTCTCGGAATGGAAAAGCGACGGGTGGAATATCAAGTGGAAACTTTATCCTATTTTTTTTTTTTTTTTTAAGCGATCAATTTTTATCTCGATATCCCTTTCTTCTTCCACAATACACACCCTTTAAACTTTAAACTTGCTTGCTCCGATCGTGTGTAATATTTTTCCAATTATTGTTATTATTATTATTATTATTATTATTATTATTATTATTCTGCTTCTCGAAATTATTTTTATTATTATTATTACTATTGCCGTATATTCCATCCCCAAAATCTCGTGGAAAGAGTCGGGATTTCCTCGCCCCACGCGCAAATATCGTTCGTGAGACGTGAGTCAGCCCCGGCATTATTTGCTCGATGAATGATTTAGTCTCTAGGCCTGTCTTCTTCCATCTCGCGCCCCTCGCTAACGAGGGCGAGAAAGCGAACTTCCCGTAGTACGAGCAAAGAGGAGGAGGAGGGGGAGGAGGAGGAAGAAGAAGAAGAAGAAAAGGAGGAGGAGGAGGAAGACAAAAACGGAGGGTGGAAAGCCTGGAGAGAGATCCATCGCGTGGATATTCGAAGGGTGGCCGAGGAAATTCGCGGGAAAGGAAAGGAAAGGAAGGAAACTGAAAGGAAGGAGGAGAGGAGAGGAAAGTGTAGCTGGCGCTAACTAAGGGCGTCGGCTAATCAATATCATCAGAGAATGGCCGCTGACCTCGAGTGCCGGCCTCCAAGCCCGACCCTCCATTCTTCCCTCCATAGTTGCAATAGGATAGGAAGGGATCGAATCATTTTTCATCCATTTCTTCTTCGTGGAATCTCGAATTTCCGTGAATTTACATCAATTAACGGAATGGAGAGAATAATTAACAATGAGGAATTCGAACGGTAGGATGATTATCCAGTATCTCGGAGTATAACCTCGAGGTATCTCCATTTTCTCTATAATTAATAGGTAACTGGTAATAATGCTTGGTAATTGGACGCTCTTTTTTTTTATTTATGGAACTCACTTCGATCGAATATTCGCCTGTGAAATAATATATTGTTTTAATTAACGAACCCGTGTTGCGTAATAATCGATCGTTTCTTGGTAATTATTAAACTCGTTCGTTTATTAGAGAAATCTTAAAATCGTCGCCCGTGTAATTGGAATAATATCAAGTCAGCAGTACATTTACGTGGATTATTTCAAGCGGAAGCGTATCCGTTTGATATTCCTTTTTTTGTTGATCAGAAAAATATTTCGTCTACTCGTTCTATTATAATCCCTTATATCGTTTTGAAATAGAGAATAATTAAATTTAATAAATAAAATAAACATTTAAATTGGTTTCTTGATATTCTTCTCAAGATACGATCGATACATTTTAATCAAGATTTTAATTTGAACAAAGGTGAAAGTGTGGATCTACTACGATATTAGCATCGAATGTTGACTATTTCCAGGAGGGTTGCCCGTGGTCTCGTGTCTCGAGGCCACGGGATTCGAGAAGACGAGATGGAGCACGGTTTCTTTAATCTCGGTGGTGTTTGCATGCTCCCCTCCAGCCCAGGAGATGGAGACAAACGGAACCACCCCTGAAAGGGGCGGCGAAACCGACCGGTGCCCTCGCGTGCACGCACCGGAAAATTCAATTACGATTCTTCCTCGCGAGAATCGCGGCTGCCCGCTCGATCGATCGATCCGAAATAAAAACCTTCTTCTCTTTCTTTCAGTCCTTTAAGGGGATAATCCTTGATATTATCGCCTTTCCCGAATTAGATGATTATTTTTCGAATTTTATCATTTCCATGGTACGTAAAATAAATACAGGTTTCCTGCGTAAAGAATTTTACTAAGAATTTGTGCCGATTTCTCTTTTATAATTTATGACATAAGAAAATTTATTAGTAGAAACGTTGAATGTATATATGAAATAACGATTAGCAAGAGGCAATAACAAAGAAGTAACAACCAGAGTCCAGAGGCAGAAGATTGGACTGATGTATTTTGCGATGAAAGTACGAGCCGCGATTGGAATTTACATTTCGTATTCAATGTGCAACAATTTAAGTTTCTCCCATCGAGAACGTTGGAGAGTTAACCTTTTTTTTTTTCAACGTTGTTGTAAGCCAATTTAATAAAAAAAAAAAAAAAAAACCTATCAACGAATTCTTCCGCTTTAATTTTCTTCTTTCTTTTCCAACGTGAAAAATCTTACAAAATTGGACCAGACGAGATACTCATACAGAAGAATATACACTCTTCTTCGAAGATAATAGATTCCTTTTCCCAGGCCTCCAAGAGAATCCAGATAGGAATAGAAATAGAAGCGGAGGACGAGACCGATCCGCGTAAACAGAGCCATCCATTTGGCGATCGGTATCCACGTAGCAGTGGTGGATAGCAGCCTCCCCTAGCTTCACCAGGCGCGAACTCCATTCACGGGTTTATCACTGTCCAGATAACAACGATTTACCTATGCTTCTCGTACGAGGGCCTCGGCCAAACGAGAGAAGAAAGGGGACGAAAGGAAGGGAGGGGTGAGAGGCGGTCAGCCACCTTGCATTCAGAAGTATTTCACTTTAACGGCCCTCCGGGGGATTGGCTGACCCTGCTCGAAGACCCTTCACCGTTTCAGCATAATGGACCTCTACATTACTTATTCGTCCTGGCCAATGTCCCGCCAGAAGCGACCGCGCTCGTTTCCACGTCTTTCCATTTCCGTGTACGATTAATCGCCGAATCCACCTTCCTCCTCGCTTTTCTACAGATACAGAGAGGGTGATATGATTAAAAATCCGTTCGAATCTCGTTCGAGGAATATTCCAAATTGAATCAAAAAAAGGATAGCGCAATTTTAAATTCACAATAGAACATATTATACTTGAAGAATAATGATTAACAAGTAATCTGAATATTTATTTTAACGATTATTTGAAATATTGTTCTTCACAGTTTCACAAAACTAGTTTCGAAAAATACCAATCACTATCTAGGAAATTTCTAAGAGAATTTAAAACTCCACCTCGTTTTAACTTCTACTTTCATCTTCTAAGATGTATTTATATATATATATTTCTCACACGTTCAAAGAAAAATCGCAGCTTAAAAACTGAAAAAATTCCGGCGAGATTCCTTCCTTAAAAAAAAAAGAAAAAGAAAAAGAAAAAAGTTCAATCTCTCGTTCGATTCCATCCTCCTCGAATTCCCGCTGCGTGCGCGGCCGACCACCCCGACTTCCGGTCCCGCCGTTCCACATTAGCGGCGTCACGTACCGCCCAATCTCGCATCCTGGAATCGTCCAGGTGGACGTGAAATTTCTCCTCAGCTCGATCGAGCGAAACGTGGTCGCGGGCCTCCACATTGCATCCCGGAGGCAATCTGCTTTCCCGCGGCACTCGAAAGAATTGAAAATTCCTGCTCGTCGTCAAGGGTTGAAGAGGTCGGGTATGGTTCTTGGAGAAAAGGGAAGCCGGGGACAGGGGACGGGCGCGCGGATAAAGCGTTCGATATAAGATTAATAGCGGAGGCCGGTGACCGAGCTTGTGCACGTCGACGAGAGGGTGGCTGTACATATATACATATATATATATATATATATATATATATAGAGAGAGAGAGAGAGAGAGAGGGAGGACGGTGATTCCTCTTTGAAGGTGGAATCGTGGGCAGTGGCCAAATTGAATCCTGCTTAGGACAGGAGCCGCGACGGGCCCCCGGGCGCTTTCTCCAATAAATAAATTGCTCCACGATTCGCGCTCCCGTCGTATTCTCTGTGAGCTCTTTTGCGGGTGTTCACGTAACAGGTGCAGTTGTATGACGATTTGAAGACAGGAGGGATAGACGGGTTATTTGAATCTTTGGTTAATTCGATGGGATCTCTTTTGACGAAGCTAAATTTGAAGTAAAGAATTTTTGTATCCTTGTAAAATAGAATAGAGAGTTATTATAATTTTTCTTGAAAAATTATTACACGGAAAAAGAATCCATCTTACACGAGTACAAGTTATAATTTGAAATTATAATTAATAGGATGAATTAGATAAACTCTAATTACATATAAGTTCGAAGCAAATACCACTCGAAATATTTTTTTTAGAACGACCGATAGTTGATTTAATCTGACGAGCAAAGTTTCGAAATTATTATTGATCGGATCGTATTTATATAAATTTCTAACACGCGTGCAAAGTCCATTTTAACGTGTAACGAATCACGTGAAGCATCGATGCCCTCTCTGCCCGACCGAACTCATTCGTACGTTCCTTAATAATACAGCCGCGTTTCCACGTTTATCTCGTCCATCACTCGCGATTGGACACACTGGCAAATTGGACGTGTGAAAAATTCTTACCTGTATCGCGCGATAATCAAATTTCTCCTTCTCTCCTTCTCGACTGATAAGGAGGGACGTCGGCCACGTGCCGGCGTGGAGCGGAATCCCGATAAAAGAGGTCATGGAGGTGCCGCGAGTGGAAGCCACCACGAGAGATAACGAGCACCTAAGCAAGCAGCTACACGGTCGCATACCGTGAAAGCTCACGAGCCACGCTTTCTTGGTTCAC